ACACAGATACACACACACAGACAAATACACTCACACACACTCTCACACACAGGCACACTCACACTCACACACACACTCACGCACACGCATACACTCATACACACACAGACACACACACACTTACACAAACACACGCACACACACAGACAAATACGCTCACACACACACAGACAAACACACAAACCTACACTCAGACACACATAAAGCCCGTTCTCCACCCCCATCACAGCTGTAATTTATTTTTAAGCTCTTCCATATGCAAGCTATCATTTCTGCCGTTTCCGTGACCAAACAGAAGGGGAACATGTTCTGGCCTGTTCAGAGAGTTGCTGGCAGTGGGAGCCCTCCCAACGCGGCCAGCACTCATTAATCATTGGCACCGCCAACTGGCAGCCCCTTTCAACAATCATTTCCACTCAAAATCGACCTGCAACAGGACTGGATCCTGCTTCTGAGCCATCACTCTCTGGATTATGGGATGTGTCAGACAAGGCCCCTCTGTTAAACAGGTCCTCACTCTCACAGGCTCCCTTCATATCAACTGTCTGATGTCATTTCACAGCTTCACTGGTGCCTCCAGATAAGCTGAAAGAATCTGTTCATTGTAACAAATGCACAGTCCCAGATGTAAGTGACTATCCAACCTAGTGGAGAGAAAGCCATGAAGTGAGATCAGCTGAGTTTTGCAGTAAATTTTACTGAGTATATAAGATTCCTTCACCATTTCTCAACTTGATTTTGGTGATAATATGTCCACAACGCTGGGATCATTGGGAAGGATACAGGAGCATTTAGAATCCTTCCACTTTCTCCCAGACATTCACTTCCAGTGATCACATGTCCTCTGTAACTTTCCGGTGTATGTCACTCGTGGCTCAGAGGGTAACGCTCTGGCATTTCAGACTCAATGTTCCAGCCTCATTCCACACATCAGAGATCATATAAATTATACTGATATTCCGATATCATCACTGAGGGAGCGCAGCGCTGACAGAGGGTCAGTACGGAGGGAGCGCCACACTGTCGGAGGGTCAGTACGGAGGGAGCGCCGCACTGTCGGAGGGTCAGTACGGAGGGAGCGCCGCACTGTCAGAGGGTCAGTACGGAGGGAGCGCCACACTGTCAGAGGGTCAGTACTGAAGGAGTGCCGCACTGTCACAGGGTCAGTACTGAGGGAGCGCCGCACTGTCGGAGGGTCAGTACTGAGGGAGCGCCGCACTGTCGGAAGGTCAGTACTGAGGGAGCGCCGCACTGTCAGAGGGTCGGTGCTGAGGGAGTGCTGCACTGTCAGAGGGTCAGTACTGAGGGAGCGCCGCACTGTCGGAGGGTCAGTACTGAGGGAGCGCCGCACTGTCGGAGGGTCAGTGCTGAGGGAGCGCCGCACTGTAACTGTGATCATGAAACTCCAGAATCAATGAAGATGATGTGTGAGCACTGAGCCTGCTGCAACATTGCTGAGCAGTTTGCCAATGTCGAGATGATCTAGTTTTGCTGACTCTCTGTTTCCTAGTTTTTAAGCAAACCGTTTGTCCATCCTACTGTATCTGCTTCTACATTGTGAGCTCTTATATTATACAGCATGTTTTTAACTGGTGCTGTACTGCCTGCCTTGATTCTGGTTGTTCGCACATTTCTGTTTGTGGGAACTTACCATGAGCAAAACTGGCTACATTTCTAATTTGGCAATAGTGACTCTACTTCAGGTCATCAGAAAGATTCAAGTCAGTCTATTCATTGTTGGTAGATCCTTCTGAAGACAGGTTCTTGCTGTTGTCTGCTTTGTCCTTGGGCTCTGTCATTACCCTGACTCCTTCAGTCCCTGTGTTTATTTCCATACACAGTTGTGTCAATGTCGCGTCTCAAAGACAACAAATAGAGCTTTGACCTTTACCAAAATAACAATGTGGAGGGTTTCAAACACTCACCATATCACCTTGCTATTGGAGTGTCATCAGACACACAGTTTGTCCCACTGTCCCTGCCCCAACACTACTGCAGAAGGAGTTGGAAGTATTTTTATAATGACATTTTGTCGCTCAATAAATAATAACTTCCAAGGGGACAGACATTAATTTCTGAGCACAAAATTAGTTACGCTTCTCAGTGATCAGAAATAAAGCACAAACACCAATGCATACAGTTACACTCAGTGTTTTTCACAGGACAGTCTATAATATGTCCCTGCAGCACAGCATGCTGTCTTCCTGACTCAAATTCAAACCGAAACCCTGCTCTTAGTCTTCCCAATCACCCAGCCCAAGCTGAAATCAAATGGCACCACCATATAGATCATCATCATTACCTTCATCAGCAGGCATCATTCCATCATCATTACCTTCATCAGCAGGCATCATTCCATCATCATCTTCTGTCTTATTGAGTACCTTGAGTATCCCACATTTCTGGAATGGTTTGATGACAATCTCTGTTCTGATTTTATCCCTGGTCACCGATCCCAGTAAATGATGATGCCCACAAAGCGATCCCTGACACTGTTTTGATCAACGATGCTAATGGGTCTCACTCAGCAATTAAAATCAACACCACGACTTTAGTTCAATGGGCCGACTGGTACAGAGACAGTCTCAAAGACAAGGACGAATAATTTGAATTTTCATTCTTTCTCTCAAGCGTTTTCATTTCTGTGGTGTTGTGATCTAAAAGGAAATTTTTCCTTGAACCATTCAAATTCCACCTAGAGCCTACATTCCCCTCCCTATCTCTTTCATCTCCAACAAGTCTCAAACTTCCCTGTCAAACCACTCCCCCTTCCCCACTCACTCCCTGAAGCTCTGCATCTTCTAATGAAAATGCTTCTGTCACTCATCACTCAATAGGTTGCAGGGCAGACAGCTGCATTGACCTTGCACAAGACTTTGATAGTTATATTGAGACAGCTTGGTGGATCCTGACATCATGTTGTGTCGTCTACTGTCTATGGGAAACAGATGCAGAAAATCTCCTTGTGAGATCACAGTGATCTAACTGGAGATCTGTCAAAGTGATGGATGGATCTGAACAGGGCCCACAAATCCCATTGTTTGGCTGCAGTGATATCTGTGGTGGCTATGATCTATTTTCCATCTCCAAAGGGGAGAATTTTGTTGGTTTCCTGCAGCAGGTCTGCACTTTCAATTCTCCAGGTCTATTTTTTTCACATCTCAGGAAGTATGAACTTTCAAAATAATGACAGATTCTCTCAATTACTCTGGCTGATCTCTGTCAGTTTTGTGTCACTCTGTCAATTTGTACAGCAGGGTTGTACACTCCAGCATCAGCTGTGAGACTCCAGGAAGGCAGGCTCGATCTCATAGACACTGGCACAATAGAACAAGGCTGTTTGGCCCATCATGGCACACCACTCAACAAAGGTCTGACTCCACTCATCCCATTTTTCTGCTCTGGAGGCTATGACAGTGCAAGTGAACATCAACATACTGCTGAAATGTTACAAGAGTTTCTGACTCTACCACTCTTTAGGCACCGCGTTCCAGACTCACACTACTCTTTGGATGAAAAGATTTCTCCTCCACTCACCTCTTAGCCTTCTACCTCTTCCTTCAAATCTCCGCCCCTGGGTATTGACCCCTGCACTAATGGAAAGCGTGCCTCCAATCGAGTGCAAACCCAACGTCCTCATGTGCTCCTCATGTGACAAGCCCTTCATCCGCAGGATCATTTTTGTAAACCTCCTCTGGACCCCTTCCAAGGCCAACCCATACTCTTCCTTAGATATTCAGCCCAAATGTGCTCACAATATTCCACATGTGGTCTGACCAGAGCCTTGTCCAGCCTCAGCAGTACATCCCTGTTTTTGTGTTATGATTTCCAAAGTCCATGTCGACCACAACAAGTGTGTTGCCCTCAATAACAGTCTTGATTAACAAATCTGTGCTGAATGTGACCACATTTTCCAGGTCCACACACAGGTTACTCATGATCTCTAATGGCCCCTGTTTTTCCCTTAGTTACTCTCTTGGTCTTTATACATATTTAAAAATCCTTGGGTTTTATATTATTCTACACACCAGTGCTTTCTCATGTACTCTTCTTTTCTGATTTCTTTTTAAAGCTCCCCCAGTCCTTTTATACTCTTCCAGAGACTCTGTCCTCAATATTGAGCCCTCAATGTCTACCACAGACTTCTCCTTTTTCTTAATTCTAACTCATCCTGAGGCAAATCAATCTTTTCTATGCTCGGTTCAAGCAGAATGCCATCAGCGTGGTCTCAACTGCCCCAACAAACCCAGACACACCTGTTCCCTCTGTCTCTGCTACAGACGTCAGATCCGTCTTCCTGGGAGTCAACCCAAGGAAAGCGACGGGCCCGGGCAGAGTCCCCGGCCATGCACTTAGATCCTGTGTGGACCAGCTGGCAGAGGTATTCACTGTCATCTTCAACCTCTTCCTCCTACAAGCCAAAGTCCCCACCTGCTTCAAGAAGACCATCACCATCCCTGTACCTAAGAAAG